GCGGAAGAACTGACCCCGGAGGTTCTCGCAGGAACGTTTTTCGGTTGCGGGGGCGCTGGGGGCGCGGCACGCTCGCCCTCTGTGTCGACCTTCTTTCAACAAGCAATGTTGAGAAGCCGCCTTAAGGCAAGTGCGCGTAGGTGGCGTGGTGTCTCCTCTGATTTGTCGAGCCTGCTGATTGGCCCTACTACTTGGTCGTGTTTAATTTGCTAGATGATGATTTCGGTAAACGATTTGGAGTGTTACGTCCCAAAAGAATACAAGGCCCTTAAATTGGAACGTGAGTGAAATTTTCCCCTTTTTTTGTGTCAATCGGCAAGACCGCTTTACACGGGATTGGGGTGGAGGGGACCGTCAGAGACGCTGGAGGGCGGGTCCAAGGACACCACAGACTTGTCGGGTAAAGGGTATAATACCCCTGCCCGTCTCGCGATGTATGTATGAAACCGAGGATCTTGGAGAGGTATATCGGCCGGATATACAACGGGTGAAAGGGAGATCGTTATGAGGGGTGCGCAGTAGGCAGCCTCGGCACAGTGTGTACTGTAAATGACCCGACGCGGGTCTGTTGGAGGAATTTCTATTGAGTAGAAGACAGATGGGAGGGTGATTTCTCTCAGCTTCCACTCCACTAGTCGGATCTTGAACGGCAGTCTGGTGATGGACCTTATTGCAGGCAATGGACGGTTTACTTTAGGCAGATTGCGATTGAAATCGCCTCGGTAAACCGAGTGGTACCCCAAAGATCGCGATGGAGCCGTTTTAATTGGATACGGCGGCCGGCCCGTCGGGTCTTGCGAATTCCTTCGTCAGGCCGGATGAGATCTCCTACAGACAATTGGGCGGATGAAGATGCGGGCTGAATGCCCGATGTGGCTGTCCTGGGCCTGTTGTCCTCGACGGCGACGGAGGGTGTACCCGACCGGGATGGCGGATTACTCGTCAGGGCGCTGGCCGTTAAGGGAGTCAGTCCAGGCTTTTTATCGCCTTCCTTGGCAACGAGTTCGGAGGGGAAATGGTTCGGTGACGGGTAGAGAAGGCGCCGCCGGATGGAAGCGTACTTCCCCACGACTGCCCTGGGAGAGAGGGGACGTGGAGAATCGTGAGAGTTGAGCAATGCCGACGCACCACTCTTTCCCACGACCGCACCGGTGGATGGGATGTGCAAATAATGAATTCCCAAACGTCCTCCGCCTAACCAATGTTCTCTTCAATTTCTGTAGTCTGCTGACTATACCTCTCCTCCAACATGGACGTCACCTTNCTTGGCAACGAGTTCGGAGGGGAAATGGTTCGGTGACGGGTAGAGAAGGCGCCGCCGGATGGAAGCGTACTTCCCCACGACTGCCCTGGGAGAGAGGGGACGTGGAGAATCGTGAGAGTTGAGCAATGCCGACGCACCACTCTTTCCCACGACCGCACCGGTGGATGGGATGTGCAAATAATGAATTCCCAAACGTCCTCCGCCTAACCAATGTTCTCTTCAATTTCTGTAGTCTGCTGACTATACCTCTCCTCCAACATGGACGTCACCTTCGTAACTAACCCTCCTTCATATTTTTTGTAGGCCTCTTTGATTTTACGTATAAATTCTGATAACATTCCAGGTTGATAGTCTGAAGAGGCACAGTGTTTGTATTGTACCAATTCAGCTTTCATACTCTCAAAATATGATTTGGTTACACTGAGTTCTTTAAACATTTGGCTGTTATACTTCTTCAGATCTGTTATCTGTTCCATGAGCGACAACGCCAGTTTATTGGTGCGTCCAATTGTGATAACCGAACTTTCGCTCTCGACAGAATCATCGCTGTCCAGATGAGAGGAAACCTTGGCAGGATCGAGCCCGGGATCGGAATATCTTCTGTGTTCTGAATTCAGTTCATCTCCATTGATACCACTGTCGGCAGTGGGTGGTAGACTAGCGTAATCTCCGTTCTGATGAGCAATATATATAGCGGACTCTAAACCGTTTTCCTGTGCATTGCCGTAGCCATTGGCAGCGTTATTGCCAGCCTTGAAGCAAGCGTTTGGTAAACGCTTGCTACGGACAGGCCTAGATGTATTATGATGGACGGCTCTAACATTCGTCATCGGTACAGGTTGGTACAGGCTGTACATGGGTGGCAGTGAAACTGGCTGCATGGTATATGTAACTGGCATCGGCGAATAGCAGCATACACTCGGATCAGACATTGCGGTGAACAGACGTTGACCATTACTCTTCATGTTCTGTGGCATGTTCGACGGCCACATCATCATTGGAGGATGATACTCCATACTCGACACCATCTGATCGCCATCCTGACTGTTCTGCTGGCCAGAGTTCCACGCGTCCATTGTATTGTTTAGGAGACTGGATCGCCTCTTCGATTCCTTCGGCATGTTGTGATAAGACGGTGTCGACGCGTCCGACAACCTGTTCTCCATTTCGGCCAACGACTCGGTGCGCATCAAGACTCGATTCCGTGTGACAACGGGCACGACATTCACGGGGCGTTAGGGACGTCGGGAGGGTCGATTGGCTTGAAATTATTCGACGTACGAACCGCGAAATCGTAGGATGTCCCCGAGATATTCAAGAAGCAACCCGTGCGAGCTAGTCATTGGGAAGCTTGCCCGACTGCCGGGAGCAGACCGGCCGATACCGGAGGACATGGATCCAACTTATCTCGATTACTACGGGGGCCTAGTCGACGTATTAAACAAGCTCCAGAACGCAGCTCGGGAAAATCTCAAATCATCGAAGATTAGAAACAAACGGTATAATGACCGGAAGCTAAAACCCCAAGATCTCCGGGAGGGCGACTTAGTATACCTATTAGGGGAACCGACGACAAAATTTGGCGACCAATACACGGGCCCCCATAAAGTAACTCGAGTCAGGAATAACTACAACGTCGAGATCCAGGTTGGGAGACGGTCCAAGGTGGTGCATCTAAACAAACTACGCAAGGCTAGTACGCCTCCGCTCAATACAATAAACGTCGACCCTTTGTAGGGTCACTGACCCAATGAACAATTTTAGGGGGGGAGGTGTCACGTCGTCACGTGTTCCGCGCAGGAAAAAATTTTCCTTTCATTTAGGCTTAGATAACAAATTTACCAGACCGGTCCGATGTCTCTATAATGCTTTGTTATCGAAATATGCATTTGTTAATTAAGGCGAATCATGATTTCGGAAAACATCGAGGCTCACCAAGTGGGTTCTCAGACTAGCTGAGTACTGCTTTAGAATAATTTACAAGCCCGGATCCGCCAATGCAAACGCCTCCGCCTGACTGCCGGCCAGGTATAATCGAGGAAGCTCATTTCTCGACAATCGGCGGGTACAAAGATGTCACAAAAACCTACAACCGCCTCCGCCAGCGTTACCATTAGGACCGGATGAAACGCGACGTAAAAGACTCAATCAGGCAGTGTGCCAGTTGTCAACTTAAGAAGCTCGTTAGGATAAAGGGCAAGCAACCAATGTGCTTAACTGATACGCAAGGAGCATCATTTGACAAGGTCGCTTTGGATTTAGTGGGATCGTTTGAGGAGGATTGCAGGACTATTGCTGGTAGGGAGACAAAAATGGCGACAGAAGATTATTCACCTGAACGAAAGCAACCTGGAAGTTCCTCACCATATTTGGAGGATTGGCGTGAACTTGCTATGTATCAAGAAGCTATACCGCGACTGAGGCCTTCCAAAACACGGGCGCCTTCAAAAAATCTGGCACCAATCCAAGAACACGACCAGACAGACGCCGTTATCAATTCCCTCCGCGCAGAGATAGCAGAATTACGGCGAGAAATAACCACTAGCAGGCCTACATCTGAACCCGCTCGGCTATTTTATGCACCGCAAATTGATTTAAAGGAGATAGTCTCCACAGTTCCTGTTTTCGACGGCCATAACATTTCCGTTTTGACATTTGCTCGAGCTTGCAGGAGAGCACTTTCTGCGCTCCCAACACCGACGCCATCCGACATAGAGGCTAATCTGGTTAGGATGCTTGAAACGAAACTACAAGGTCATGCGTAACTAGCGGTGGAAGATAAACCCATCTCCTCAGTAGAAGGACTTTTGGACGCTCTGAGTGCTACCTTCTTGCCAAATCGAAGAGTGAATTTTTATCGAGGCGAACTCCATAACCTTTATAAAGACCCGAATGAGCACGTCCTAGATTACGTTAGCCGCACTAAGGACTTACGTCAGGCTATATTGGATTGCGAAAGTAAAATTTCGGGACGAATTTTTTCTACAGACGATCGCAATCGGTTAGACACCGAAGTTCTGGAATACTTCATCGACGGTCTTCCTCCGAATCTCCGCATAGTCCGCATATCTCCTCTGTTGATTGAACGCTGCCGCACCTTGTACGAAGCATCCCACGCGCTATTGAGGATTCAATATCTTGCCGAGCGAGACGCCAGCCGGGCATACCGTCCACGACAGCAAGACGATCAAGGTTTCAGCTAGAAGCGGTGCTAGTCCTGCGGACAAAGTGGACTCTAGTGATAAATGCAGAATTCAGAACTAAACAACGACACCCAGTCGTCCCCCTAGATCCGAACTGATTTGCAACTATTGCAAAAATACCGGACACATTAAGTTCAATTGTGAACTACGTCGGATCAACAACGAGCGAGCCCAAGCTAAGCTTACGGGAAACGCTCCGGGCGGTCTGAGCCAATTGAGCGCGAGCCAAGCCGCCCCCACAGACAAGCGCTCACCGATCCGCCTAAACGATCCGTTGCCTTGCTCCAGCAAGCAGTAAAAGGCCGACCACCAATCTTACACACCCGATCACCCGACTTTGAGGGCGGGGTTACCTTAATGCTAGACACTGGCTAAGAAATCAATGTCATTAAGAATAAAACCTTGATTCCGCCTATTGAAGTGAACCCTGTAGAAGCGATGAGAGCCACCGGTATATCGGGCGTGCCAGTATGCACAAGGGGCACTGCTACGAAACTTTAGGAATGAGGATACCGTTCCATGTAGTGGCTAATACCTTTCCCATAGAACAAGACAGCATTCTGGGTTCCGGAACTCTGCGTGAGAATGGAGCTGTCATCGACTTTTCCAAAGGCTCCCTCATCTGGAATATGGAAGAGCTTCCTTTCAGCAAACCCGTTGAGGTTCCGGCGCGCTCCGTTGTGACTCTTCAAGCGAGAGTCAGTAACCCTGGCATGAAAGAAGGATATCTGTCCCCGCTTCGACTTCCCAAAGGGATATACGGAGGCGAGGTCCTTGCCCGAACCCACAAAGGAAAAGCCTGTCTTAATCTTGTAAACACAACGGAAACCACGGCGAACATCTCGCTCCCGACATTAACTTGAGAAGCATACGAAGTCGGCGGTTTATTATCGTCACGTTCTGCTGCACCGATGACCACCCACGCTCAGTCACTGGACCCTTTGGCTCCCGTCTGCGACGAATCACCCATTTTGGAACCCGTACGAGAAATCGGAATCGCAAACTCGGAAGCAAACTCTGTCTTACCCCTCTCTGTTCTGAATCTGACTGATGCGCTCTCTGTATCCATTGTCTGCTCCGAACCTGCCAAGGACCGACCTCTCGAGATATTTCCTGCAAGTGGTGATTCAACCGCATCCATTGACGAGAATGACCGCAAATCTGCCGAGGAGACCCCCTGAGCCAATATATCTAGAAACCAGTTTCGATCCGGCGTGATACCTATGACTGAGGGGACTACGAGTGTCAAAGCTCTGAAAAACGGCGATGATCGCCCTGCCCATGTCACCGCCGCTCTTAGGTTAGATCATCTGAATCCAGAAGAAAACGCC